GTTCAGCTGCCTCTCCAGGGCCGGCGTGTGGCCTTTGGACCAGCAAGCTGAAGCGGAAAACAAGGTCTGAGAACTTGCAACTTGAGAAGATGATGGTTACCAGCCCTGCATTGCCTCAGGGAAGAACAGGAACTACTCTACCATTCTTGAAGTGAAGGTACTTAATGAGAATAGGACAGTGTGGAATGGGGTAAGTGAAGAGAAGAGGATAGAGAAAGATAGCAAGTGAGCAATAGAGAGACAGGACGTTAGTGAGAAACAGATAGGGCTTATTAACTGTTGATGATGACATGTATAGAATTCTCAACTGGATTGGTCTGAGAAGTGTTTCATGACGGGCAAAGTATTTTTAAAAGCAAAACGAGAAATAGCTATTGACTGTTTTATAAAAATAATTAGAATAATAAAGATAATGATTGGGGAAAACAGAAAAGATATGGAATGTTGAAGTGGGGAGATTAATGTCTCTGTACTGACTGACGTGCAAGGCATTCCCTTTTGAAGAAACAATGTAATACACTGTAAAGTTATATGTAATCCAATGTAATATGAAGAAGATATGATGATAAAAAATAAAAAAGAAAAAAAAGAAACAAATGCACACATATTTTCATTTAATGGCAGTGTCTTTGGAAGTACTTTCCCTCCTACGAGACTTCAGTCCTTAATATGGACGAACAGTAATCAATAACATCCCTAGCTACCTATCGTCACCACGTAAGGCCAGTGAACAAGGGAGAGTAACAGAAGCAGTCATTACAGAATTCCTGGTGATCAAGAAATCGGAGGAAGCCTCCCAGAAGAAAGTCAGAAGCCATTCGGGGGAAAAAATAACAGCCAGAACCAGAGAAACACACTGAGAGGCAGAGTTAACACTCTCAACCCTCATGAAAAATGTAATAGAGTTAGGGAAGACCCACCCAGGGATACGTTGTAACACAGCTAAGAAAAACCTGAAGGGGGATACATTGTAACACAGCTACTGGAAAACCTGACCCCCGGGGAACACTGTAACACAGCTACAAAAAACCTGAATGGGGATACATTGTAACACAGCTACTGGAAAACGTGACCCAGGGGGAACACTGTAACACAGCTACAAAAAAAACCTGAATGGGGATACATTGTAACACAGCTATGGAAAACCTGAACGTGGATACATTGTAACACAGCTAGGAAAACCTGAGGGGGGATACACTGTAACACAGCTTTGGAAAACCTGACCCCAGGGATACACTGTAACAGTACCTAAGGAAAACCTGAGGGGGGATACACTGTAACACAGCTATGGAAAACCTGACCCCGGGGATACACTGTAATGCACCTAAGGAAAACCCAGCCTCAGGGATACAGTTGAAGAAAAAGCGTCCCCACCTGATGCAAAGATTCAGGACGGAGGCTCCAGAAGTCCCAGACCATGTCTGGGTCCTTCAGGTGTGTCTGAGGATTTCTCTTTTGACTGTGGATAAAGGATGGAAACTAAATGGAAAAAGAGGGAAAACTTCAAAAACTAAGTTTACAGGAATTACTGTCTTACGTTATATGTTGACATATTATAATCATAAATGGACATGCATTATAAATCTAAACAGTCCAGTTCTAAACTTTTATATTATCAAATCTAAAATGAATTTAGCCACCATATATAACTAGCAGCTAAGACACTCTAAAGCATTTCAAGTGTTTCACAGCAACAGACAGACACAACACACACCCGTGGACCCAGTGCACGTTCAAACACCACCGCTCGTGCCCGGGCAAGACCCTCTTCCAGTCACCTCCAACGCCCTGCAAGAACGGAACTGCTCCTATTAAGCAATGAATCTTGAAATGCACAATTTAAGCCGAATGGTAGTTATCGCTACTTCTTATAGAAAAGTATTAAATACAAATATGTCTAAAAGAGCGACCCAGCACCTCAAATCCTCAAAGCCTATTTCCAGGCTCCTCCTCAGTGCCAACCTCAATGAAGTCGTTTTAAATCAACAAACATCTATAGAGTGAAAAACATGATGTCACCCACCAATATGGCATCTCTGATGAAGAAAATGGGGGTATTGTTTCCAACGAGATCCCAGTTGCCATCCTCTGTGTAAAATTTCACAGCAAACCCACGAGGATCACGCACAGTGTCCGCTGAGCCTGACTCTCCGGCTGCAATGCGCAAACGGGGCATGAAGGTGTGGACACCCAGGTTCTGCACCCCAGAGGTCAGAGGCCCAAGACCTGGGGACTGGCCAGCCAACGGCCTGGTGGTAAGGTGGCTGGACCGCACATGCCTGCCACGATGCTTGCCCAGACCCCGAAGGGGTGCAGTGTGACCGTCCCCGCGGGTGGCCCCGTGAGTACACATCCACTACATATTAAAAGGAAAGGAAAAGGAGAAACACAGGCAGCCATCCTTCTAATGCACTGCCTGAAAGTAAATTGGGTCTTTAGTGTCTGGGTTATTACTTCTACCACCCACCAGCTAATTTGATCTACAAATCAAACAAAAGAATTAGTCGAGAGTAATAACAGAGTATAAATTATAACAGCTGGGAAATTATCCATTTAACATCACGAGATAACGTTGTTGAAACAGGTAATTAAAGGAAGAGAGTGATTCTGCAGGGTGAGGCAGCAGCGGGGAGAGCGGAGAGCAGCCACGGCGGGGAGGCCGTTCCAACGCGGGGCTGGACTCCGAGCTCCGGCCCGACCTCCACCTGCTCTCACCTCCCGAGGTTTCGGGCCCCACGGAGCCCGACAGGGCGCCAGGAGCAGCCGCGCACCGTGTGTGAGGTGTAGGACGACGGACTGTCACGACCACCGGCTGTGACCTGGGCAGACGGGAAGGACCCGCGTGCGAAGCGCACACACACGGAGCACGTGGGCAGTCGGGCCAGCTGAGGCGGCAGTCCCCAGCGGGCAAGGTCTGCCCTGGCCGTTAGCGGCCCCGCGGAGGGAAGGCTCTTTCCCAACCCCGCGTACGTGGGGTTTCCTGAGACCCCACAGGCAGAGGTACGAGCGACTTCCTGTATGTCCCCACCGTCCTGCATAAACTGCCACCGCCGGGGGTGCCCAGTTCCCATCTCCTAGGGTTTCCTGGACGGAAGCTGCGAAGGCCAGGACGGGGCGCAGGCTGCCAAGCAAGGCAGCCAGGGCGGCTCACCGACGGTGGAGAAGCGGACGGCGATGGGGGTCCTCTTCCCGATGTGCTCGAACACCTTTGCCTTGCAGTACTTGGTGATGTCGTGGGTGACCTCGAAGTAGCCGAAGGCCCCTGACAGGAAAGACGCGGAGCCTCAGCACAAGGCCAGCCCTCAGCGCCGGGACCTCCAGGCGATGAGAGACACTGGTGGCCCCGCGCCTCCTCTGGGAGACCTGGCCAGGATGGCGGGGGTGGAAGGGCTCCCCAGACGCCGGAGGGTGAGGGGCGAAGCCCGACTGTCGCTCTGCGCTCAACCAGGCACCGCAGCTGGGCCACAAGGAGCAGGGCGAGGGCTGGGAGCAGCCAGGCAGGGCCGACAGAGGGGCAGGGCCCACCCGGGGAGCAGGACCGACCCGGGGAGCAGGACCCACCCGGGGAGCAGGGCCGACCTGAGGAGCAGGGCCGACCCAGGGGCAGGGCTGACCTGAGGATGCAGGACCAACCTAAGGAGTAAGGCTGACTAAGGGGCAGGGCTGACCCGGGGCAGGGCCGACCCAGAAGCAGGGCCGACCCAGGGGCCGGGCTGACCCAGGGGCAGGGCCGACCCAGGGGCCGGGGCGACGCAGGG